CCACCACGACCCCCACCACCCAGGAGCCCACCACGACCCCCACCACCCAGGAGCCCACCACAACCCTAATCCTCTCTGAACTGACCACATTTGAGATCCCAGAATCAACCTCATTCCCTACTATTTTGGAATACCCAACAACCACCTCCTCTGTCTACCTCCCAGAGGTCCACGAGGTGGTTCAAGGGAATTTGGAGAGCTCCAAAAATGACCCTTTGCTCAACCCTGACTTCTGCTGTCTCCTCCCCCTGGGCTTCTATGTTTTGGGTCTCCTCTGGCTGCTGTTTGCCTCTGTGGTCCTTATCCTGCTGCTGGCTCGGGCCCGGCCCGCGGGGCCACAGGCCCTGGCCACAGCCACGCACACCGCCCATCTGGAGCTGCAGAGGGGAAAGCAAGTGACCATGCCCCGGGTCTGGCTGCTTTTCCTTCAAGGCTCACTCCCCACTTTCCGCTCCAGCCTCTTCCTGTGGGTACGGGCTGATGGCCACGTGGGGCCCCTGCGGGCAGGACGGTGGCCCTCTGCCCTGAGTCTGGGTCGGGGTCAGGACCTGCTGGGAACAGTGGGCATTAGGTATGCTGGCCACAGCCTCTGAGGGGGGTGGTTTGGGGACCTGCAGAGGCCGTGATGGGCTTCCGTACTGGGATCTAGCTGGGGGTGGGCGGGCAAGGAGCACAAGGTCGGGGGAGACTTAGTCACTTTTCCTTTATCAGAAGCCTCTTGGTACCACACGCACAACCGCGGCGAAGCAGCAGGGGTGGAGAGGAGCAGGGCGGGTCATAGAACAAAGCTCCCTATGCTGCAGGAGAGGTTCACAAACCACTAGGTCGTTACCATCACCTTGGGGGAAGTTTGAGGAAAAAGCGAAGGGAACAGAGCAGGATTCTCAGACGCGTGTACCGGAGGGAACCGGGAAAGAGCTGTATCAAGATGTGAGCCCTGATCGTCCCTGCGGAGCACAAACATGGCGGTTTCCTTTTCTTTTCCTCCGTTGAGCATTTTTAGTTTTCCACCGTTGTATATTATTTGTAGAATAAAAAGGTAACTTCAAAAAAACTGAGTTTCCTTTGGAGACGAAGAGCGTCCAGGGCACTTGTCATTCGCACGTCTGAAGCCCCACCTGCCCCCACCCGAGTTGGATCACTTGCCCACAAACGCTCACCAGCCTGCACCCGCGGCCTGGGGTGCCCCCTCTCCTCCTGCACTACCGCTCACCAGGCCACCGCAAGCACCAGGACCAGATCCAACCCACAGGTTTCCCTGGAGCAGCCCCTGCCAAGGCGTGCCCGCCCGGGCCGCCTAGGAGCCAAGGTGGGCACCTGCCCGCACCTGCGGCCTCCTGCCCTGCCCAGGCCAGCGGCCCAGTGGGTGTGGGCCTGACGGCGTGGGCCATCGTGGTGGGTTCTACTCATCGCCGAGCCGTCCCAGTCAGGTGTCCTGCTCGCATACTAGAACCTGCTTCTCCCCTGCTCCCCTAGACTCTGCCATTTCCCCTCACCACACCGAGCGGTCTGTCTTTCCTGTGGTGTCTCCAGCCCAAACCAAGGCTGGGGCCACAGAGAACGGGAGTGAAAGCTGAGCCTCCCCGGCTCTAGAACCCCCTTCTCCAGGTGGCCGGGGCCTCAAAGCCCTACTGCACCTGCCCTGCTTGGAAGTCTCCCCTGGAGAGAGGACAAATCTGGAGCTTGACCATTAAGGGCTTCTATGCACTCACCCGGCTGACGTCCTACAATGGGTTCTCCATGTCCCATGGTCCGCCGCTGCAAGCTTTGAGATCACCTGCTCCTCTCCTCCCCCCCCAACCCCGGGTTTCCCCTCCGAGGCTTAGCTCTCTTGTCCAGCAGGTGTGCCGCTCCATCCATCTGACGGCCACCAGCAAGGCTCTCTCCTCCAGGTAGGGCCAGGGGCCCCGCATCACCCTGCAGCGGTCCCTTGCTCCACTCCCGCCCCCACCTGCCCCTGGGCCATCTTTCCCTCTGGATCTGGAACCTCTTAAGGATAAGGCCCAGGCTCCTGGTGTCTCAGAGTGACCACTGTGGCCCAGGCCGGCAAGCGCCAGGAGTGGGTACGAGGAGGGGCAGAGGTGGGAAGGCCGAGCCGGGGCGCCGGGCTGCAGAGCTCCTCCTCTCCTCCTCCTGAGGAGGCTCTGCCAAGGGGACAGTTCCCACCTGCCGCCTGCCTGTCCCTGGCCAGGCTCACAAGACTTTCGGCCTCACGCTGCCCAGCCCTCCTTCCAGTTGACCTTCCTGTGCCCTTTGACGCCTCAGGAGATTTTTGGAGACACATCACTCTCCGCAGAGTGGGGCTCGGATCAAGTCTCTGGCCAACGTCCCCTTCCCCCGCCTCCCCCCAGTTTCAAGCCTCCTGGCTCTGGGCACCTGCCCCCACGGCTCAGCCTTCCCGTCTCAGACTGTCCCCTCCTCTGCCCAAGTCACCAGGCCGCGGAGGCTTTTCCTGGGGATCCCATGAGATGACCCACGCCCCCGACATTCTTGGGCAAGTGGCTGGGAAGCAACACGCGGGGCGCGCGCATCAGTTTTCCTTACCTGTCGGCTGCTGCCACCGCACTAAGACCGACTGACGTCGCGTTTGCGTAAAACGGGCAAGTGCTTTTCCTTTAATACCTTTTCTTTAAAACTCCAGTTCCTGTGTTCCTGGGACCTCTGCCTCCCCTCCCGCCCCTGCAACTATACAGATCTGGGAGTGCTGTCACCAATCCAATTTATTGATCACGTCGTCAGTGAGGTGGAGAATCACGTCCTCCCGCTGCAGGCCTTTTGGCCACCCTGACAGCTTCTGCTGCCTCCTGTCCCCTCAGCCCTGCCTCAGTTTACCCACTGAGAAGGAGGATCTTTCGCGGTCCTACGTGCCCGAAACCAACACCCAGAGGAGGCCGGGGAGCTTCAGGCAGTTTCCCAGACACTACCCCCACCCCCCAGCCGAGACACAGCCAGGGGCAGAGAGGTCGTGAGGATCAGGACAAGGAGGGCAAGGTGGCGCAGGGGTAGGACAGACCACAGTCCTTTACCGCAGAGGAGGGAACCACACCATGGAGGGAAAATAAATAGAGGGGCCCAGGGCAGCAGAGTCCAGGCCCCTGGGGGCACACTGACTGTGGGAGCAGCGGGTAAGGGGGAGCCCTGGCACCCCGGCCCCTCGCCTGCCTCAGCCACTGAGGAAGAGACGCTTGTAGGCCTTGTTCATCTGCTCCAAGAAGATGAAGGTGAGGACGGTGTGGGGGCCCAGGCGGGCATAGTACGGCGTGAAGCCCTTCCACAGGCTGAAAAAGCCCTCGTAGCGGACAACCTTCACCAGCACGTCCTAAACAGGCAGGCAGGGCGCCGGGGCTGGGACCTGGCTTCCAGGGCCATGTCCGGCTTCCCCACGGCCCTCCCTGCCCTCCCAGAGTGTCCCATCCTCCAGCCCAAGCCCCCAGCCCCACTTCCTCACCAGCCCGTTCTTGTATTCCGGCTTCCCGTCAATCATCCTCATGTTCTGGATCCTGCAGGAGAAGAGGCAGGGGCATGAGAGACACAAAGCGGGCCCTCCCGTCCGTCCCTGGGCCCCGGCCCGCACGCTCACCGGGTCTTGACGATGTCCACCGGCATGGAAGCAGCGGTGGTGACCAAGCCGCTGATCATGCTGGCACAGAAATGGCACAGGATGTTGTCAGAGAAGTAGCCTGGGGGAGGCGAAGCAGGGACGGCGGTCAGCGCGGAGTTGGCCCGGGGCCGGCCGGGGGTCCCTGTTCCGGGGCTCACCTGAGTCCAGCAAGAACTGCTTGGATTGGGAGTAGGAAGCGAGCTGGGCCGCGTTGACCACGACAGCGCGAGCCATGGTAGGGATGCAGCCCTGTGGGGGTGGGGGTGGGGGGGTTGTGCTGTCAGACCCGGCCAAGACCTGCCCCTATGAGCCCCCAGAGTCTCCACCCCTTCACTCACCCTCCATAGCGTGGGGACCCCTTCCTCCCGGGCGATTCGAATCAGAGCATTAAACACATTTTTGTAGCCACGGCGCTGGTCAGGAGGAAGCCTGGTAGGAAGGCGGGGAGAGGCCAAGCTCAGGATAGACCACCCTGCCCCACAGGAGCAAAGAAAGGGGGGCCGGAACACAGACATTGACGCTCTGCTCCACACCAGGGACACGCAGTCCTCTGATCCTAAATCCCAGGGAACGGAGCTGGGGCAGGCTCAGACCTGGAACTCACCGGCCATCGGCGGTCATGCGGATAAGAGCCACCTCAGCTGGTGTTCCCACAAAGGCCCCAGTCGCACCTGCAGTCATGCCAATCAGGGCCTTCAGCAGAAAGCCAGGGGGCCTACCGTCAGCCCCAGTCAGACGCTCAAACAGCACCGTGTAGATGCCAAGGCGGGTGGTGGTGTAGGTGGCCTGGCGCAGCAGGCCAGCCGACAGCCTGGGGAGCGCAGGGGTCTGTGCGTCAGGCCGGGGTCTGGAGCTGCCAACCCATCCCCAACCCCACCCCCCGGCCACATCCAGTGGCTGCAGTACCCAGTGTAAATGCCCCTCAGCCCTTCTGCCCTCAGGATGCTGGTGAGGGCATGGAAGCTGGTTTTGTACTCTCGCGTCTTGGCTCCTTCCCCGCTCAGCTGCATCCGGTTCTTCACCAGATCCAGCGGCTGCACAAACACGGTAGCCCCCATCCTGGAGAAAGACAGAAGCAGAGTTCAGGGCCGAGTGTCCCCTGACTACCTTCCAGTGCCCACCGGAACCTGGCAACGAGGAGTCACAAAGCGCCAGGCCTGCCCGGTGATTAACCAAGTGTTCAGGAGGCTAGTGGCTACGTGTGTAAGTCTCCGCCGGGGCCAAGAGCCATGGGTCTGAAAAGTCCAATGGTCCCGCGGGAGACCGTGCAACGAAAGTGCTCCACGCAACTCCCAGGGGGTCAAGCAGTGATCTAGAACTGCCCGCAGTCCACCCCAGAGAGAGGAAGTGGGCATTCGTGACCTGGGGCCTCACGTAGCCCGACAGGAGCCATGCGAGGACCTGGAACCCCACACGACCCGGGAGAGCTAAGCAATGGGCCTGCACGCAGCCCAGCAGGGGCCCCGCGATGGGTGAAAAGGTCCTGGCAGCGCATCAAGGACCTCGGCAATACGCCTGGGACCGCGCTGACCCCGTGCCGGCTCGGCTCCCTGCACCCGTCCCTTCCTCCTCCCTTCCCAACCCTGGGGCCTGAGCTTACCCGGCCAGGCCCCCAAACAGGAACTTGACGGACTTCGGGGACGTGCGGGGCTTCGCGTCCATCCCGCCGGCCCCGGGACTCGCCGTGGCCGCCATCGCCGCTCAGTGGCCCTCGGCTCCGGGTCCCGTGCGCGCGCGGCCCCACTCGCGCCCAAGGTGACACCGCGCGCGCAACAGGGCCGAGGGC